CAGACTGAGTGCAGGAGCTGCAAATACGACGAAGGGTCTCGAGTTCGAATCCCCGCAAACAATTTTTTTATTGACGTTTTAATTGAACCTATTTTACTACTTTAGCTCCTACAAAAATAGAACCTACTTTAAACCTAACTTGGAGAAAATGGAAATTTGTGACACTTTTAGGTTGAAAGTAGGAGCAAATTTTATCCTTGCAATTGAACCTACTTTACTATCGTAACTTCTATATATAGTAGAATGAGAGGTTCATCAGAGAGTCAAAATTTCGACTCGGGTTCTCACCGTGACAAGAGAAACCACTCGAAAACGATTTGATGTGAATGTAAACTGACAACAGATTACTGTGACAAAGCGCGTAAAACGATATAAAGTAATTCGATTCATTGCGATTGGCGGAATAATAACAGTGACACAGGTACTTCTGTGCGAATCTCTCTTTTTCTCATCAAAAGAAAATGAAACACAGAAAAGTTCATTTTTTACTATATTTTTTTATTCATCGTCCGAGAACGTAATATCACAAGTGAAAACTGCACCTGATACATTCCCGCCATTCTCGTCTGAGAAAAATTTTTCCTTGAGATACTTTTTTTTATTATTATTATTATTATTATGTTACATTAGCTCCAGAACTCTTTTTCATAAAATTCACCGAGTAGCAATATCTTTATCTCTTATGTAATTTATCATTTTGCTCTCCGTTATTATCCGAGCTTTCGGTTAGACTGCATTTAGAACGTACTTACTTCAATGCATGTCTAACGAAATGTACATTAACGATCGCTCTGGTTCCTTACGCGGTTTCACCGAAGCGAGATTGCGGCATATACGGCACTTAATGCCGTAATGTTCTGCTCTTGCGGAAAATTGTTCCAATTGTCTGCAACTATGGTGTATGGTGTATGTATTAAATTCCGAGTAAAATATTTAAAAAAAAAGAAAAACAAAAACTAGAAAAACCACTAAATCTCGGAATACGATCCGCAATTAAAGAGAAAAGATTTTTGTAATTTTCTCTTTCTTTCTTTCTCTCTCTCTCTCTCTACTAATAATGTTCTGTATTAATAGAGAAATCACAGTATAGCGGTGATATGACGAATCAGTTACATGTTTCCTTAAAACATTTTACCGTAAAATAAACCAATCTCCATTTAGATAACGTTGGCGGCACAGTGAGTAGCAAATGTAACAATAATATTCCTCTCGGCGGCATAAGAAAATACAGAGCGAAGGTTATAGAAGGTTTAATAATACGATCTCGCGAACTACGTATCTGTTACAGATACATATGTATGTAATGTATCTAATATCGTTATACGTTTTGTACGTTAAATACGCGCGTTCGGAAATCTCATAAATAACTTTTCGTTACTTCGCACTCGTCGTTCGCGACGTAGACCCCGTTCGCGTCAGTTCGTTTCACAAGAACAATGGAATTAAAATTTTTCTCTCAATCGCGATGCCAAACGACGTATCGAGAGAAAACTCCGTGCTTTGCGATTTCATCCTGACGCGAGGGAAACACGTGACTAACGAACCGTGAGAGCAAATGGCGTTGTTTAAAGCGCCGGATGTTTCGTGACGACAACGAACGTCACTATAAACTGACGAGACGACCTCGCGACGATCGCTCTTGTGATCCACGTTTCTCGCGTCTTCCAATGCGACGATTCAATAAACTTAATAATAAGACCAGCTGTTAAGCTTATTACCTTCAGGCAACTTTCTCAAATCTCTTAGAAATATTTATTACACACGTCACAAAAGGAGGTTTCAGACGTTTCTCTCTTACTAGTCTGTGACGTTTCGAATCAAAAAGCATGAAGCGAGGAAACAAGACTCACAAATTGAATTTATAACACTGAATTTCGTGAAGAGCGCCGTTGCTTATAGTATGACAAGACTCACGACGCGCGGAATCTTCTTCCTCTCTTTTGTTAGCGACGACGCGATAATAATTACACGTAAAGAGAATTGCCTCAAGAACAGGAGGCTTCCAACAGGAACAAATTACAGTTTTGATTTATCCTCATGAGCCGTTACAACCCGAGTCGAAATTTTGATGCTACTTTCAAACTTTTGAAGATACTTTGAACCTATTTAACTGACCAATATACTTATTTAAACCTACTTTGACACT